GTGTGTGTGTGTGTGTGTGTGTGTGTGTGTGTGTGTGTGGTTCATTCAAGGTGTTACGGTTCTTTTAAATTCCTATTAGTGATGTCCATGTTAAAATACATTTGGGGGCAGTTATACCAGGACAGCCTGAACTTACCCGAGGCCAGGTGATTAACAGTTAAAATTTGGAGCTCTAGTTAGGTGCTGCCAGCAAATGAGGCATTTGTGCAAATAAGCATACCCAGTTTTGAAATATGCATAGAAGACCTTAATGATAACATCAAGCAAGTGTCTATGATGATCTGAGCTAGCAGTCAGGGATAGAGACCCTTTAACAACGACTTTCTCCCGATGGACACCATAAGAAGTATTCTAGAACTTAAACATGCATGGCATGTTAACCATTGGAATGAGAGTGTGGACTCAGAAAATCGCCAAAATCATTAAAGAAAAATGGTCAAAAGAGCATGGTCAACATGTAGCGGCGTTTGTCATTCCATACTTCTGATCCTGAGGAAGTGTCATTATGATTTTAAAGTGCACCATTCTTGGGGCAACCAGGGGGTAAGGGCACCTGCCACCGAGCTTGGTAACTTAAGTTTGGGCCTCAGGATTTACATGGTAGAAACACTAACATGACTTCCGTAACTTGTCCTCTGACCTGCACATGCAATCTGTGGCATGTGCTCACATTCTCCCCCCTTTCCCCTCCCTCTCTCCCTCCCTCTCTCTCTCTCCTTTTCCCTCTCCCTCTCCCTCCCTCCCTGTCTCCATCACCCCCCTTCTCTTCTCTATTGATTCTACCATTTCTTTCTCTAATCTCTGTTCCCTTGTCTTTCTCTCCCCTCTTGCTCACCAATAAAATTTTAAAATAAAAAAGTAACATACCGTTCTGGATGTTATGAGAATGGTTTACAAAAAAAAGAAAAAGTAAAAACTTTTTGAGTGATAATGGGTTAAAACCCCATAAGTAGTATATTAAAATTATTATTGAATATGTTTAATGCTGTGTCACTTTGCCTTTCTCTCTTCCAGTTTTTCTTCTTTCTGACCCATTCATATAACTGTGGGAGTCATTTTTCCAAGTCAAAAATTTTCATTTACTTCATTCACTGTATTATATGAGAAAAATCTATTTTTAAATAGAAGGAAAAAAACAAAACAAAACACAAACTTATAATCACATATATAGATACACAAACACCACACACATATATATCCACATACGTGTGTGTATATGTGTGTGTGTTTGTATGTGTACACAATGCATTGTTTTTTCATTAAAATATTTATATTTTCAAGTGTTAATGTATGGTAAATATAACTATACAACAATGTAATTCTATTTTGAGGATTATGATCATAATGGATTTACTATATTTTAACTATTAAATCACAATTATGATGAAAATAATGTAACAGATCAAAGTAAAGTTTTTCTTTAAAAAATGTTCCACAGTTTCATAATTCCCAAGTAAAGTATACATTCTAACATTGCAACATTTTTGTTAAATAATAGTTTTAATTTTTAAAATTGGCATATATTCATTATACATAATGACAAATTTCATAAAGACAGTATCTTTCATGTATACCATTACTCTGACCATAATAAGTTCCCACAGCCTCTCCTTTCTCTCATCTCCCCCTGGTAGTTCCCTTCCTTCAGTCAGTCATGCTTCTGTTTTCATATACTATGTATAAAAATGATTGTGGTGCCTCTCCTGGATCTCGCTCTGTAGACAAGGCTGGCCTCGAACTCACAGAGATCTGCCTGGCTCTGCCTCCCGAGTGCTGGGGTTAAAGGCGTGCACAACTGCCGCCCAGCCTACTTTTCCTTTTATTATGCTCACAATTCATAACTTTGGTCCTTAAATGGTGTCCAGTGGATCTCACATTTTCAGTTCATGGATTTTATTCTGTTTTTATTGTTGTCTTGGTTATTCTAATTTGTTTACCTTGTCTCCAACCCTGATATTCTGCTGTCACTTAAGCCATTCCCTTGGTGATTTCCAATGAGTTTTTAATTTGATTACTGAGGTTTTTATTTATCAACTTGCAAAATGATTCTTTTCAATAATTCTATCTACTTAGTTCCTCTTCCATAGCGCACTTTGATTTCCGTATTTCAGCTGTTCGTTTGCGTTCTCTTTGAAATCATTCAGTTTATTTGTCCTCACTTTTGATTTCCTTAGACGTTTGTGTAATCTGTTTTGATTATTTGGCAGGTGTTTCTCTGTTTCAGCACTGTTTTTGGAATTCGTTCCTATGGAATTGGTAGTTTCAGGAGAAGTCTTGATACCTTGTTTTGCATGTTTCTCATGTCTATGCTAAGACTTGTGCTTCCGTGGTTAGGTCACTGGTTGGGTTTTTATCTCTCATATTTTTTTCCATCATAATACTTGCAATGTTGAAGTGAGACTAGGTCGTGATAGGGTTGGGGTGCTGTTTCTCCCCACTGGACTGGGAATGTACTTCAGTGTCTAAACCCACATGCTCAGGACCCAGGCACAAACTACAACATCACTTTAAGAGTAGAGTACTAACTGCAGAAGCAAGAACATCTGTAACTCCATAGTCTTTTATGCTGGGACTTAGGCTTGCCTTAGGCTTCATCATTTTCCTCCTCCTACTTTAAATGACAAAGAAACACAGCGATTCAACACTCGGGGTGGCCAAACTAGATTATTTTGACCTGTGGAAAAGCGAATACGACATCAAGCTAGGCTAAATTCTAGATATTATAAGGAAATGTGAGGATTTATAGCCTAGAAACGGGTTCAAGAACAGGTTTGCAAATTATTAAGAGGAGTCCAGGTAACCTTCTGACTAAACTGGCCTAACAGGATTCTTGCTAAAGACAGGCCAGGGATCAGCACCCCCTGGGGGATGGGGAAGGATG